ATATATTTTGCTATCTGGTTGTTCTTTTTGATAGGTGAATAGCCACCACATATCATAATTTTGTATATTTCTATGTAGACATTTTCAGTCATTATTTTTCATTTCTTAATTATGGGATTGTGTTTTCCCACTAGAATGCCAACTTCACAAGAATACTGAGTGTTTAGAACACTGGATGGTACTTAGTAGGAAATGCAATAGTGATTCATTGAATGAGTAGATGAACCATCCTCTGTCAATGTCCTTGCATATGGTTTATTATTAAAGTTAGGATTTGTTTTCATCATTGTTTTTTGAGCTGGGATATTGCTATTACCCAGGGTTGTCTCACACTCCTGTGCTCAAGTGTTCCTCCTACTTCAGCCTCCTGAGTTCTGAAACTAAGCAATGAATTAGCAAAACCAATAACTTAATTCTACCTGAAAATAATTATATATATATATATATATAAATGTATGTAAAGTTTATATCAGTATATATAATGATATGTATATATAGCAATAGAGTTCAATAAATCATTCTGTATGAATGAATGAATGAATGAATGATAAACTTCCATAACATACAACAAAACTGCCAAATACAGGGAGGACGTTGCTTTGATATTAAATAGCAAATGTGATTTTTGCCCGGCTTATTGTAGTTTTCTGATTGGATGGGTTGGCTTGTTTGGGTGGAAGGCTGGTGTATCCAGTATTTTTTAATACTGTCAGTGAACTAGCTTATTGTCCTTATCAAAGAGAGCCCAGCTCTGGAACGGATATATTTATAATGTAATTTCATTAAAATTACTGTATTTATATAGCTTCTGGCATCTTTCATTAAACTGAAGTAGTTCAATTATAAGTGTCTGAGGCAAAGATCTTTTGATAGTTTTCAGTGCTTTCACTGAGGGGAAGAAAAAAAAAAAAGAAAGAAACACTGTTCAGCCTTTAATTATCAGAGAATGAAAACACCGGGCAGATTGAAAGGATTAAAACGAGGCATTGAGCTTTCTGATTCTTATTCCCAGCTACAGGAACTCGTACAAGAAGAACATCTGCGTGGACATGCTGCGGGAGGGTTATCACGAGTCCTTCAATGAGCTCTTTGCTCTGATGGAGCAGTGGGAGACCCTGAGGGTGGCTGCGCGACGCAGGTCCATCTTCTGGACGCAGAAGCCCCTGGAGGATCAGCTAGATAAACTAGATTACTTATACCACCACCTGACCAGGGCCGAGGCCGCCGAGAGGAAAGGTAGGTGGAGAGATGGTGGGCAGGTCCCCTAGGGAAGGTTCCAGATTGTCTCCTGCGTGCAGGGGAAACATTGAGACAACTTAGCCCAGGTCTCTCTAGTCAACTAAGCATATTTATGGGACAAATAATAGGGACCACTGAATGAAGAGGCAGCCCAGACATAGGGTCTCCTGGTGCTGTCACTCCAAGCCGGGAAGACATCACATGGCACCTAATGACATCTTCTAGAACTTTCCAACAGATTCAAAACTCTCAGATCATGAATTATTAACGTTTACATAATTTATCCTTATCTGCCTATTGACTTCTGCTAAGGAGATACTTTTGAACAGCCCTGTCCCTTCAAAATGATACAGATTTTCCAGAATTTATGTAAATGAGTTTTGAAGTTTTTCTCATGACATGTTACTTGAATCAGAAATTTTATATTAGGGAATACTGAGAAGATACAAAGTACCTGCAATTCACAATTGTGGTTAAAATTGTTAATTTTATACTTTCCATGATTCCATGGAATTTCTAATAATTCCTTTTTTTTTTTTTTTTTTTTGGTATTCTAATATTTTCCAGAAAGTTATATGTCAAGAATTGGAGAAAATATTTTCATCTCTATTATCACTATATTGATATTGTTATAAATATTTTTCAGTCACATGTCAATAATTGATCATTTTAATTGGTCACTTATAATTAAAGAAAAAAATGGAAGTCCCAGATTTTGGCATATAAATTTGGTGTTCTAAATTATTCGTTTCTTCAACATTTTGGGTGAAAACATGATAGAAATCAAAATAAAATAAAATAAATTCTTGGGCCTTGACATGACAGTGTTTCATTTCAGACCATTTATGGGTATCTGACAAATTTCTGTTAGCCCCTCAGCTTCTATAGAGCCATCTGATGAGACAGGGGACAGCCACAGAGGCAGCCACAGTCTCTCAGCTTCTAGAGTGAAGTCCCATCAAGATGTGACCTGACTTAAGATGACAAGATGTCCAAACTGTGAATAGCACATCAAGCAAATTAGGGTGGAGGGGGTGGTGAGGTTGAGATGGGCCTGGGTTATTTACACTATGAAAAGTATTTAAATGCCGGGTTGACTTTAAAATGGAGTCTGTTGGTGAACTTTAAAATGTGATTTATATAATTTCTCAAGAAATTAACTATTGAGAATAAAATATACTTTTGTGAAAAACCTGCATTCCCATGTCAGCCCCAAATTCTGAAGTGATATTGATGCTGGAAGCACAACTAGTCAAGATAAAACCCGCCCATTAGCCACTTTTTAAAGTTGAATTCCATCATATTCACTGTGTGAGGTGGGGGCTTTCATTTGAGCAGCATAAATATGAGCAAAAACTCTGCCTTGTCATAAAGTGTCACAGATGAGTCAACTTGTCATAAAGGCTTCTGTAATGATAAAGAAACCAAAATACCAAATAGTTTGCTTGAAGGTAGAACACATTTTAATTTCTACTCTTTCATTTAAAAAAAATGGTAACTATACATAAAAATAAAAATATTCCTCCAATTTGAAACTCATGAAATCCCAACTTCATTATAGACAAAGTCTTGTGCAAGTGGTCAGAGTCATGAAAGGAAATATTTTCTTCACAGAGCAGTTTATCACATATTCATGGTAACTAAGTTTGCATTTGTTAAATGGGGCAAAATTACTTCTTGTTCAGCCTAAATGGTCTGTAGAGTTCTTTCCTAAAAACTGCAGTGGCTTTTGCCTAGTTGAAATACAGAAAATCAGAAATGTTGCAAAAAAGGTTAGTGGAAATAATTCAGTTGAATAACATGTAAGCATTTATATGGTCCTTTGTAAAGAAGGTGTGCAATTTTTTTACAGTCAACACATGAACTTAATTGAGGGAAAATTGTGATTTGAAGAAGGAGTGCCCCATAAAATGGGATACACATTTTTGTTTTTAATAACTTGAGTTAATCCTAATCTTAAAATATACACATGTATATGTGCATGTGTATGTATATATATATGTGTGTGTGTATGTGTATGTGCATATATATGTGCATGTGGGTAAATATATACACATGTATCCAAAATATAAAAATCTGTGAATAGCATCTCAAGGTTCCATCCCATATGGTGGGGAAGGGGGGGGTCTGAAACAATTATCCTAAAATAATGTGTCTCTGAGAAACCTCATTGCTTCTCATTGGAAAGACCATTGCTCTAGGGTCACAATGAAGTTCATTTAATCAAAACTATGGCACTAACAATAGTCGTTTCAGGTCAGTTCTGTCTCTTGAGATTTACAGAGCAGTAATCTAGAGTTATTTAAATAACTTTAACAAAATATCACTTGCTGTTTTAGAGCAAAGTTGTGTTTAAAGTAAGCCAGCCATTTCTTATTGGATTATTTTCCACTACTGGAAGGGTTTCTTTGTCCCTGACACATTTCCTGTTTTATCCATTGTTGTGAATCATCTTCGTACCATCTGTATGTAACATTATGATTAAGATCTTGAGCCCCATGGGGTTGGGGAAGAGATGGCAATAATGGTAATGGGTACTGAATCAATAGATAATTCCAACATTATTTACGCTTGACTTTTAAATTATTGCCAAGAGTTGAGCAGCAATTTTTTTTTCCAGTAACATTTGTTTAACATACACAAAGTGTGTTCTAATCAAGCAAAGCTCCAAAATATATTATAAGTTTTATGCGAAGACAAACAAAAACAAAAAAATTATCTGGTAAAATAAGTTTGGTGAACTATCATTGAAGTTAAGAAGGTTGATTTATCGCGGAACTTATTGGAGCCCTTTTCATGCTTACATATATTGTGTGTATACTTCTGAAATTTATTTCATTATGGAATCTCTTCTTTAGAGAGCATAGCGTTTAAATAACAGACCAACAATAAAATTTACTTTCATCTTCTGAGTATACTTACTGACAATTCAACAGAGTGACCTACAAGCAAGGAGACAGGCTACTTAGAATGTAAAGTATACATATGACAAACATAGAAAAATAGCTTAGCTGAGAAGTAGTCTTTCAATATGGTATCTTAATAGCTTATATAAGTATAGTTTATTGTCTTTTTAAAAAAGCATTGCTTATGACATGTTGGGAATATTTTTATATTAATGTTTATTTACTGAAAAATAGAAAAATTATTGTAGGATTATGTATATAGTTTTAAAAATTTATATAAAATATTCTTTATATAAAAATATTTTATTTAAGTAGAGTATATGAAATTCTTTACTCAATCCAAAAAGAGTAAAACTCTCTAATTAGTAAATATGACCAAGAAATATGAAATATTAAGAAATAGACTTGCATGGTCTATTCACATTCGATGAATCAATGTATACATAAGAGGTGTAAGTGAAGGAATGGCACGGGTTTTAAAAATTTCTGTTGAAACACTGGATGATTTATTTATAGTTCTTGACAATCACCTTTTATTTAGCTTGTTTCACTTTTCTGATCCTTTGGATTTAATCTTAGAGATGCATTAATGGGCAATATTCTTCATTATTGTAATACCTTCAGGAACAAATAGGCTGACTCTTCTGGTAGTAGTGAGCAATTGCATCAATGAATTCTACTCCACAATCACTGTTATAAAAAAAAAAAAAGTTTTAGAATAGTAACTCAGGCCACTACCTATTTACAAGTGTGCTTTCAGAATAAATGCAAAAAGACAGAAAGATTATAAATTTGTTCACATTCACCATTTGAGAGGGGTTTATAGGACTGAGGTGCAATTCATTAACACACAACAACTTTTTTTTAAAGGTTTTTTTTTTTTTTTTTTTTTTTGTAGTTGTAGATGGACAGCATGCCTTTATTTTATTTGCTTACTTTTATGTGGTGCTGAGGATCGAACCCAGTGTGAGGCAAGCACTCTGCCACTGAGCCACAGCGCCAGCCCCGCAGACATTTCTATTACTATGGCAGTGGAGTTTATAAGGACAATTCATAATTTATTAACAAACCTTTCTGTATACATATAAGTCAGGTGCCACTTTAGGGGGGGAAAAAACTACAAGGGTTCAAGTAATAAACTAACAACTATCTGAGTAAAAGGAATGCTTAGTATGTATGCATTTTCAGTGGGGAAAATATACCCAGAATATAGAAGCATAGAAGTCTGCTCTTTCTTAACACTGTCAGAAAAACCTATGTTGCTAGAAACTTTATCAGAAAACGTGTACAGCTTATAGAGGTATCCTGATCATCATTTCTTATATCTATCAAACCCTATTTTTTTTTTCCTTCAGGGTGAAAACAGTGCAGCATTCCCATATCCTCTCTGCTTTCTTCATTCACATTATTTTGTCGTTGTTAATAAGCATTACTTTCTCTCCCATCTCAAAACATTTTTTTAAACCTCCAATGTAAAAAGTACCCAATGAGAGTCCTTTCTCCCAGAAAAACTAGGTACACTGCTAATTGATATTTTCCAACCCATATGTCAATTTCTAGTATGTTGTACATTTGTGGAAAGACTTTTGTTGATTTGCTTATGTGGATATCCATTAACATGTAATTATTTTAATTTTGCATTCAGATTACTTTTATAAAATAACCACACTTTTAAGAGTAAAATGGGAATAAACGTCACAGCATTGGTTTGCCATTCCCAAGCATGTACGACGAGACATCCTCTTTCTAATGTAGTTTGTATTTTTCTCTTTTTGAAGGACACTTTGAAGAAGTGTATAATAACTTGTACGCTCTGGCCTGTTTCTTCGATAACGCTGAAGACAAGTGGGTAAGGAACCACTTCTATGAACGATGTTTTCGGATCGCACAATTGATCAAAATCGACGGTGGGAGGAAAGAGGCCGAGGCGCATGCGCACATGGGCCTTCTCTACGAGGAAGACGGTAAGTGGGCTTTGTCAGGATGCAGAGACCAGGCAACCAGAAAGCAGGCAGGAGTTGAGAAAAAGACTTGAGTTCAAGATGCAGATTATTGAGGTCAAAGAGCAAAGACGCATGACTGACTCACAGACCCAGCTTCAGTATTCCTTGCAGAATATTCTTTATAGCATTCCTTGCTCGGCTCCTGTCTGGGCAACTCAGCCTGGAGTTCCCAGCAGCATCCTCACAGAGAGAAAGTACCTCCCCACTACACATACACACACACACACACACACACACACACGGACACACACATCCCTCAGTCCACAAGCTGCAATTTTATTTTATTTTTTCTTTCATGACAGGCCTCTCTGTTCATTTTAACTTGATTTCTCATGTATGAAAATTCTTGAGAAAAAAAAATGAAATGTGCACTTCATGATTTTCCTAGTGTCCACTCCCCTATGTAAAAGTCCCAAAGCTATATAACTTGGATACCACCCTACCATTATTTTACAATAATTTCTGAAGGAAATACTCCTTTAAATATAAGTTCATACTTAATAGTTTTATCTTATGACAAGCCAAAGTCTAAAACAACACAAAATGGTCAGAAACAAATCTTGTGTAGTGATCGATCAAGGATTCAAATAGGGATTTAAGAATTTAAATTATCTATGTGATAAATAGTATGTAGATGATATGTGTATTATCTAATATGTGTGTGAAGAAGAAAATATCTTATCATGAATATGCTATTTAGTCTCTAAAAAAAACCTGTCTTGTTTTCCATAAAAATTTTGACTATGGCAAAACACTTAAATTTTTTAAATATTTATTATTTTATGGCTAGAATTACATAGGACTTTGACCAATTCTTTCAGATTTTTTAAATTTCTAAAAGGTTTCTGTGCTCTAGGAAGTTGCGGTTGATGAGATTTTAACTCCAACCCTGGTAGGTTCTAGAAAGTAGTCAGGCCTATCTCTCATGACAGATTCAGCCATGCCAGAAAAATAGAGCAGAGTAAGAGATCATACAGACTGGATTCAGGGAAGGCCTGACAGAGTCGGGAGGATCAGGCTGTGGACTTGAAAGATAGGTTGAATTTAGGCAGGTAAAGAAATAGGAATGTATTCAGTGAAAGCAAACAACATACACTGGAGCATAATTGAGAAAGGGGTAGGAGGAGAGTAACCTACTTACAGTGGAAAGTGTATTTTTGAGCCATGCTGGGAAGTCATAGGAAAGGTGAAATAAAGATACCTCGGTGTTAGGAGCTTGGATTTAGTTTCTGCACGTTCAGGGTAAGGACGGGAGAGTGAAATGTCTATCTATGATGCAAACTGTGCCAGGAGCGGAAAGAGGAAGGGGGATGGCTAAGAAGCTGCAACAGTCATGGAGCTCAGAAGAATGAGTGCAGAAATATTTAAGAGAAACATATGGAAGTGTTCTATTGCAGCCAACCTATAATATCTCAAAATAGAGGATTAGTTAAATAGATGAAGCAACTTCCAGGCAACAGAGTTCCATGCAGTCATGAGATTACAAATTAGAGCAAAATTCATTTATTCATTGAACAAATACTGATTTAGAACCTAGCGCCAGGGGATAAAACAGTGTACAAGGCAAAGTCCCTGCCCTCGAGGAACTCAACCACTTCTCCATGTACAGTTTAGTAGTGTGAAGTATATTCCCATTGTTAGGCAACCAATCTCCAGAACTTTTTCATCTTGCAAAACGGAAACTCTGTGCCCATTAAACAAATCCCCATGTCCCTCTCCTTTTGATTTTTTAAAATCTCTATGCATTTCTATTAGAGGACTTATAAATTGCTTACTTGATTCATTCATCTGTTTATTCACTCATTCAATAAATATTGGAGTGTTCCCTGGTCCTATCGTTAGTAACCATGGCACCGTGGTTGCCCATATCATCTTAGTGACAGACATACAGTGGCAGAGAGCAGGGATGAGCTGGGAGATGTGATCTGCGTGGGGCTGTGGTGACACATTACTCACAAGTCTTCAGCTTGCTCTCATTTGGGTGCCCCACCCTACAGCATGATAAAATGCATCCATGTTCCATAATAAATAGATTGCTTTAAAATACTGGAAAGACTTCTGAAATTATTTTTAGAGTGGGTGACTTTGTTTTGAAACTACGTTTTGTCAGATCTAAAAATTTTCCATATGCTCTTAAACAGTGCATAGACCCTAGAACCAGGCCTGACTGATAAAACCACTGAGTCAGTGTTGATGAATATTCCAGGGATTGCCTTTGAGTCTGTGATATGCCTGGTGATGGTAAAAATAATCTGTGTAGCTTCTGTAATCTGTGGAAGATTTTTCACAAGAAGTATAGGAACATCAAGAATATGTGGCTAGGGGCTGGGGCTGTAGCCAAGTGGCAGAGTGCTTGCCTAACGTGTGAGGCACTGGGTTGGATCCTTAGCACCACATAAAGACAAACAAATAAAATAAAGGCACTACAAAAATAAAAAGAATATGTGGCTAGAATAGAGGGGGACTCACCTGGCTGTAGGATTCCCACTGAGGAGATGGTGGTATAGCTTCCGCTTATCAGATCTGATTGGTCCAGACAAGTGAACAGAGGCCCCACAGCAACAGCTAGGCAGCAGCTGTGCTGGGGGCAGGTGGCAGCATCCCGATACCACGGGTGCCCCCATTCAGGTTAAAAGAGGATATTAGCCAGCAGATGGCAATGGGCAGGTTTTCAGGGCCTGACCAAATAGGCTGTAGTCCAGGGCAGGGCTCCAGCTCCCTCGGGGAACTGTAGAGCAAATGAGGAACAGAAGCAGAAGCCATTTTCACAGAGACTGGGCACATGGTTGCAGTCAAGGGTAATGTTCAACCCATTGGCACAAATGTGACCAGCCCTCACACAGACGCCCCTGGCAGGTCCTTCGGCACAACAGACGTATAAACTCTATTAGAAAGAAGATGTCTCACAATCTGCTGGAGATGGGGTCCTACCATACTTGACTCAAGGGGTGGCGGTCTCGTTTTTTCAGACCTGTAGAGCAACAGTAGGCATGGAGTAGTCGCGGACTGACAGACACAGGCTGTAGCAAATCACAGGCTGTATCTTCTTTTAGAATTCTGAGGACCTTATGGGCAAGACCCACGGGCATGCTGGAGAAAGTGTGCAGACAGTGGATCAATAGGAGATGTGCTCTTTCATTCTGGAGCAGACACAGAAATCTAGCAGGGCCAGAGGCCAGACTCCAGGAGAGAGGACTTTGTAAGAGACATGACTAAGGAAGCATAAGCTCCTTCCCTGCCATGATCTGAGGCCAGGACACAGTATCAAGCTGATGTGGCCGAACCTTCACTTCAGTCCTATCCTGCCAGGTCAGCAATAGAGGATCAGTGTAGTACTGGAACTTGGGGCAGTAATTCAGTTTTCCTCTCAGTAGAGTGCCTATCCCATCCTGGGTAAGTCCTTTCAATATCACAAAAAATGAGGGATCCCATCACTAAGCGCCTTAGCCTCCCACTTCTCAGTATTTTCCAAAGTTAGTTCCTGTTCATAGTCAGTACCTGCTGAAGTCCAGCCACTACAGCACAAGGAGTCTCTTCCTTTTCCAGTTTGAGTCTCTGACCTATCCCTAGATAGATCTAGTCAAGTCCCCTAATTTGCTTCCAGAAGGCCATGGTGTGTGCCTGGTAGTGTCCTGGGACAACTGCCATTGTTAGCAAGAGAACTGGGCACATCAAGCTTGCAGCAGACCAACAGCAGCAGCAGTGCTCCGGGAGAACTCCGAGATAAGAGCAGAATGAGGAGCGCAGCTCTCCCAGTGTAGCATAGGATGCTGTGTGACTAGGGAAGTGTCACACTCCTGGTGTGGTCAACACCCAGACGCCATCGTGATATGACATGGAAAAGTCTTGATACAGTTCTGTTCTTCCTGCTCAGCATTCATGATGTGATGCATCCCACCTCTCCTGCCTGATGGGCAGTGGGACAGGGAGATGGAAATCCGGGGTGAGACCAAGGCCTTATGGTTGCAGCTGCCGGCTATGGCATACAGATGGCAAGACTTGTCACACAGACTTCCATAGTTTGGGAAGCACCAACCTCACCCCTGTCAGGAAAGAATTGGAGGTCAAGTATTTGCAATGGGTCAAGATTGATTGCCTCAAGCACCAAGCCTGTCTGGTTTCCGTGGAGCTTTGCTAAAGTCCATCTTCTTTTCTGAGAAGCTACTGCCTGGGATCAGTTCTGGACATGTTAACCCTTTCCTCTTGGATCTGTAAACTCTGCATAAGGAATGCTCTCAGAAGAGTGGAATTGGCACGATGCAAGGCTGAATTCGTGATGTTGAGAACAGATTTGAATAACTGCCCCAGATTGCAAGGGAAAGACAAGGAAATTAAAACAAGGAGGGAAGAGGACAAATATGGAAATTTCTAAGAAAGAATACACAATAATTGAGCAAAAGCAAAGCGGTTTAAAAAAGATTTCTTGACCCTTAAAAAATCTGAATATGCAAATCAAAATAGCTCTTCAGTCAAAATTAATAAAGAGAAATCCACAGTTCAATAACATCCCAGAAGTTTTTCAATTACTCAGATAAAGACAGAGTTCTACCAGTATCCAAAGAAAAAATACACATGGCCTACATTGGAACAAGAGTTAAACAAGACTCAGTTTTCTCCAAGACAGAGCTACATTCTGAAGCAATAGGAAGGCATTTTAGATATGCAAGTTCAGAAAGCACTATGAGTATAGTTTCCATATATATTCCAGAACTCAACAAGAGACATGTCAAAATTAAGAATTCAAGAATGGGGAAAATCTGACACAAAATATCTTTGCAGCAAAACCTTACTTAAATCAACATAAAGTTAAATTTTAAAAAAAATGTGTGTCAATAATACTGGAAGTAGATGATACATGAAAACATGATTTAAATTTTCTCTTTATGATTTACCGTATTTACCAATTTGGCAGTAATGTTGATATTTCTCTATCATATTTTAAACCTCAAATTTTATGAGAA